GTGGCCCTCTCTCTCTCTCACTCTCCCTCTCGCCCCCATAGACACAAACTGACGGAGAAGTTGATTAGGAGCAGCTCTAAATATATCCTCCACCTCCTCCACCTCCTCCTCCACCTCCTCCTCCTCCTCCACCACTCACACACACACAGGAATCAATGGTTAGCATAACGTAACGGAGATAGTCTTGCTTCTTTTATTTCTTCCTCTAGTAAAGGATGTCTAAACGCCTGCGAAACACTGAGCTCTGCGCCGACTGCAATGTTCCGGGTAAGCACATTCACACTCTCCCTTTGCAGAAAGTGTTTTAGCTGCGAGCTGTTTGTTTTATTCCCTGACGTTTGAAGCCTTGCACTTCACCCTTCGGGCTTAAATCAGATTATCAGTGCTGGCCCACGCTGCTTGCTTCTTCTTCACAGTCAGATATGCACTGTTGCTGCTGACAGCTCTCTAACGTTATAGCTCAGTTGCTGAGGATCCAATTAGACTTAAAAGCAGCTGTCTTTTTTTTATTTTTTAAACTGTTTCTATCCGGGTTTAGTGGCGACCCCCAGACTGAAGTGGCATTATATTCAATGCAACAATGATAAACTGTACAATCAACCTAAACAGTGGATGCAATAACTGCAGGAAGTTCTAGCAGATTATTTCATGTCAATATTGGATATTTTAATACAATTCTGTCTGTATTATGTATTTTCTTAAACTATGATTACAATAGGCTTATTCTCTTTTACAAGTGCAGTGTTTTCTTCCCTGACACTTCATATTTTGTTGTTTTAACTTCTTCTCTAATGCAGGACGAGGCTGCTTAGCAGAAGTAATAGTCTAAACTTTTAAAAAAATGCAATTTATTTAAGTTTTCTAAACAGAAATGAACAAAATGCTGAGATACAGGCCTATTTGAGTTTTTCACACCCCTTAAAATCAAGAAGGCCTCTTGAGGAAGCTTTGGCTTTGGGAACCACTTGCTCTAAATAATCAGGCAGGCGGTTTTTGGTGTAATTTCACAGGTTGGTCATCGTCCCAGGTATCAAACACTTTGTACATTAGAAATACTGTCTGTGACATGCAGACGTTTCCAGCAGATTAGAAATTGAATCACCCCTTATGAGATATCATCTGCTGTGTAAGCTCTCTGGCATGTCTGAAGTACAACTAGGATGACTGCATCATTCAGAAAAAGTCAGTGGGTACAGTGGTCTCCGGTCATGGTGCTTCTTCGTACACCACACGGGGATGTTGGTAGTAAAAGAAAACCCAGACGCCATGTCGACAATGGAAGACTGAACTTTTGTCGATAGATTTTCTTGATGAGGAGTGATTGAATGACGAAATTCCTAATAGTCTGGATTTTTCCTCCACTGATCCTGTGAATTACGGAGAAATAAGTGTGTTTTTATTTTAATATTGTGAAGATAGTGAAGTGAAAAGCAGAAATAACCTTTTACATCCTAAAGCCACATCTAAAAAACTGTCAGATTGAAGTCGTCAGTGTACTACCTGCATCGATTGGTAGCAGATTTATTCTCTTATATCCAGATCAAATGAAGACAACTTAATCCTGTGTGTGTTACATAACCTCAGAGAAAAACCAGCATCTTCTAACAGATTGTTTGTTTTAAATCGTATTAAGAAATTAAAATTAAGCGTACAGTCATCAAACGTCTCTGGGAAAGCCGAAGAAGTGATAGTTGCATCAGGTGTTCCTTCAAGTCCCGTTAATATAGAAATGACGTGATGTTTTTCAGCAGGCACAGGAAGCAAAACAGGATGCTGAGCAGTGGACCACATGGTTTCAATGCAGAAGAGATTTCTTTTTTTTCTACTGTGGCACCAACACAGGTGTTATAACTGTAAGAGAGAGAGAGAGAATAAAAAAAATCTTGTCTATTGCACAAAGATAATCAAGAAAAACAATGAGTCTGTTAAATATTCAGCACCTTGTCTCTCATCATGTTATTCCAACCAGTTAAAGCCCTCAGGTCTCCACAGCAGCTGGCCTGGGTTGCCCCTCCGTACAACTGTTACCAGTTGTTGGGTGTGAATATTTTTAGAGTTTCAAGATGTGGTATTAAATTTAGCAGCACTTGTTGAGGAAAGGGTAAAAGAGGCATGTCAGCACCACCTCTCAGGGTCTCGGCGGGGAGTAAATTAGGAGGAGACGCTGAAAAAACGAGAACTTGACCAGCAACCCCCAGCAGCTGTTCCTCCTACACCTCAGCTGCTGCTAAGACACTCACAGTCGTCACTGTCCGCCCTGTCACAGTGCCAGACACTCAATCTGCTTAACAGTTTATTGGCTATCAAGAGTGTCATATGAATTTACAGTATTTTTGGTCTTGAGATGTCTGCTGCCAGAAGAGTCTCGCTCATAAACGGCAGACGGCACAACTCTGACATTTGTGTTAGGTAAAGAATTCTAAATAGGTCAAGGTTAAGTAAACGTATTTATTTTGGTCGCAGTGTATTCCGTATCCTGTAAGTGCACTCTGTCTCAGTTTCTAACGCCGTGCATTTCCTGAATATGCTGCACTCACATTCTTGATAGCATTTCTCTGTCATTTTTTTTTTTTGCTGTGTTTTCAAAGAGGAAGCCGCTCTGTTACTCAACAATAAGGTTGAGGTGCTTCAACCTACTACTGCTTGTCTTCACTTCCTTTTTAGACAAGCATAGCTGCGTCTAAATTTGGGCTCAATAAAGGCCATAAATGCTTATTATGGCTACCGTTGCTACTGCCCACTGGGGGTTTGGCTTCTATTAAAATTGTGTTTGTCTGCATGTCGTCTGAGAGCTTCCTCCGAGGCATGTTGTGCCCCACATTGTGTTAACTGTTTGTGTTACATTAGCCTAAAAAATGGGTCCAGCTGGTCTGAGCTGGACAGTTAGTCTCAGAGGCTTTAAAGGACAGGAGTGGCATCATGCTGTATTTTCTTTATCGTCAAAAAAATCTCATGAAAAGACCAAGGCCAATAATTTTTTAGTCTCTTTCTTTCAGGATGTTTTCCTTCTCTGTCTGTGGCACTCACCCTCCAATCAGTCCCAGTCTTTTTAATGAAGACGTACATTTTTAAAAATAGGTCAGAAATATGAAAATATTTGTTATGGACTATTTTCAGCCGTGGATTATCATCATGGATTTGGTGCTGCGAGCCTTGTCCTTTAAACGCCTGTCTGTAGTAGTTTCAACACCATAAGTTTCTCAGGATCCTGTCAGCGAGGAACAGAGAAAAAGGAGAAGTTACGACTCACATTAGCATCATGTCAGTGACTTGAAAAATGGTTCTGAATGTGAAGAGAGGATATGACTTGTGATAGCTTTCTAACTGACTGCCGAGAATATCTACAGCTAAAGAGAGACTCAATCAGACCTGTGAGAGCTGCAGGATACAATATTTTACTTTTAGCTACTCCTTAAATGACACCTCGTCATGTCATCAGTTGTGAGTCATCAATTAGATCTCTGCAAGTGTCTTGATTTTCACTTTGTGGTTTTCTCTTCCTTCCCAGAGCCTCGCTGGGCCTCGGTGAACAGGGGGGTGTTGATTTGCGATGAGTGCTGCAGCGTTCATCGAAGTCTGGGCAGACACAGCTCACAAGTCCGCCACCTGACGCACACACCGTGGCCTTCCACGCAGCTGCAGGTAAAAACACAACACAGGACGGGAAGAGGCTGAGTTGTCGCTCCTGAAACGCCTCAAGATCACGTTATCTCTGCACACAATCTGCAGTATAATATTCAGCAGGCCTGTATCTTAAGATAAATGTGTTGACAGTTGTACATCAGATCCCACTGAGGTGCATTGATTTTGTCCGAATATAGAAAGTGCTTGTTCAGGAAAGGAACTGCCAGTCAGCATTCTGCAGTCTAAATCAATGGGACACGTTTTACAGGTTTCTTTTTTCATTTCCCCCTAGATGGTTCAGACATTATACAGCAATGGTGCAAATTCAATATGGGAGCACTCTCTTCTGGACCCTGCGTCTGTGATGAGTGGAAAACGCAAGGCCAACCCTCAGGACAAACTGCAGTGAGTTCTTGTTCCCTATACTTTATTTAATAAGCAAAAAAATGTGATTGTTGAGCGTCCAAGTTTAGCATGTGCCACTCACTCACCGGCTGCCTCTCTCTTTCTGTTTGAACCTCCACGTTTCACACTGTCCCAAAAAAGCCCGAACAAATCAGAGTTTATCAGAGCCAAATATCAAATGCTGGCATTTGTCCATCGCATGCCTTGCCGGGAGGATGACAGCTCAACAGCCAAGGATTTAAGTAAGGTGAGGAGAAACAGCTGCTCACAGTGATTAGGAGAATGCTGGAACTTGTTCTTGTGCAAAGCTTCATTAATTCATAATGATACTTGTCTTTTCTTTCCAGCAACTCCACTCAAGTGTACGGACCGGGAATCTCGAGACTTGTCTGAGGTTGCTATCCCTGGGAGCACAAGCTAATTTTTTTCACCCCGTAAGATTCACCTGCTGTATTTAA